GTGTGTGTGTGTGTGAGTGTGTGAGAGAGTGTGTGTGTGTGTTTGTGTGTGTGCGTGAGAGAGAGTGTGTGTGTATGTGTGTGTGTGTGTGTGTGAGCGAGCGTGTGTGTGTGTGTGAGAGAGAGAGAGAGAGTGTGTGTGTGTGTGTGAGAGAGAGTGTGTGTGTATGTGTGTGTGAGAGAGCGTGTGTGTGAGTGTGAGAGAGTGTGTGTGTGTGTGTGTTTCTCACCTGGATGTCCTGTATTGACATGACTGAGCAGGGGAAGTTCTTCTGTGAGCTCACCTTCACGATCACGGTGTCCACACCATCAGGGAACACATACTTAAAGAACTACACACACACACACACACACACACAGTCATTACACTCCAGCACTGCAGGAGATCTGTGTGTGTTTGTGAGTGTAAAAACAATATGAAAATAAATTAAATGAAGTGTTTTAAAATTGTAACAATGCAGAGTAGTATATCGGTTAGTGTTATAGTATTTATAATGAGCTGTATATAAAAATAACAATAGAGGTCTATGTAATGTCCACATTTATAGAGATAAGTAAATGTTTGTTTGTGTGTGTGACATCTGACAACCCACATTATTACATATTTATATTCAATATTGAATTTGTCAAAAATAAATTTCTTCAAACTCGTCTAAATCTTTTCACAGCATATTTAGGTGATCAAATGTGACGCGGTCGTGATGTGATGTTGGTCGTTTGGATAAATTCACTCGCATGAGCAAATGTAATGGCAAAGCAGGCAGTGTCATGATGTATTGAAACAAATAACTTGCGTTCTAAGCTGTATTTTGGCAGTACAGGTGGTTTTTGAAATGAATCTGAGTGTTTGACATTGAGGCCATGTACTGAGGGTGACAGCGACCCCTGCTGGTCAAAAGCAGAGTTCATCTATCCTGTGATTACTATAGCTCACCTAACGAAATGATCATTCTGCCATCATTTACCCACCCTCTCTTTCTTCAGTGGAACGCAAAAGAAGATATTTTGAAGAATGTCTCTGTGTTTTCTGGAAATACAATGGCCCATTTCCTTGTTTTGTTTTTTTCAATAAAAAAGGGAAAGAATTCTCTCCTTTTTGGTTGATCTATGCCTGTAAGTGGCTTGTATGTGCCACTGCTGTGTCTAGCCTTGTATTCACATTTATCATGATTTCTCTGTCATTACATCAACAGGCCTCCAGCTTTACTTCAGCAGCTTTAGCTGTTACTCAGTTCCTTCAGAAGCAGGATGTCAAACACACACACCTGTTTGCTCTCTCACACACACACACACACACACACACACCTGTCCGGCTCTGAGCTCCTCTAGCAGGGAGTGTGTGACGCTGCAGGACTGAGATCAGAGGATGTGCATCAATGACTGCTCTGAGATCAGCTCTGCAGCGTCTCTAACACTCACTGACACTGATCTGAGGTGGAGGAATCTGATCTGAAATCAGATTAAACCCTTGAAGAAAACTCCAGTCCTCAGTGAATTAATGAATGTGTGTGTGTGTGTGTGAGAGAGTGGTAGTTCTGTATGTTGTTTCAGGGTTGGCATCATCTGAGGTCCTCTGAGGGGTTGGCATCATCTCTTCTCAGGTGTTCTGGTTCCAGACTGAAGCTTGTGTAAATCCTAGTTACCACGGGATGTCAATCCCGTGGCAAAAAACAGAGGAACAAATAGAAACATAAAAGCATGACATTCCTAAAGATCGGGGCGAACAGGATGCTAAAACGACTAAATCACCAGCTTCAGGCCACAGGTTTACAGCAGTTCACCAAGAAAACAGTGACAGAGGCAGAACTAGTGTCTGGATCTGATAGCGTCTGTGAAGCCTGACTGCTCAGTGACTCACTGCAGCGTGAAGCTGTCCACGCGACTGACGCGCAGCTGATAGTGGATCCCAGCGCTGGACAGCGTCGACACGTCCACGTAGAAGAACTGCGTCTCTGCCACGGCTTTGGTGGGCGGCTGACACAGCGTACGGCCCAGCTGCGTGTACTGGTACTTCCTCTGATACCTGCGGAGACGCACTCACCGTTACAGTCACTCACATCTACATACGGGGTCTCTGTCCTGAAAAGCTCTTACATCAGAGCAGAAAGTCTTAAACTCAAAGTCATGGCATTAAATGTTGCACACACTGCAAAAAATAATATTTTCCACAGTATTTTTGTCCTGTTTTCTAATGTAAATATCTAAACATTCTTAAATCCAGATTCAATGCTTTGCATTTACTCACGCTCAAGTTGTTCCAAACCGGCATGAATTTATTTCTTCTGTTTCTGGTACAGTTTGTATTTGATGTGTTTCTATACTACGGGAGTCAGTGGGGACCAGCAACTGTTTGGTTCCCCACATTCTTCAAAATATCTGCTTTTTTGTTCAACAGAAGAAAGAAACTCATAGTTTGGAACAATATGTAAATTATGTCCGAATTTTATTTTTTGAGTGAACCGTTTCTTTAAAAAAATACAGTGTGAGAACTAAACAAATCCTTTTATTGCTTCATCTGTGCTGCTTGTGCAAAAACAGAAGTTCTTGAGGAACTGAGAGATCAAAGTTCACACATGAATGAACAAATCATCAAATCAGAGTCCAAAATTAACTTTGACACCTGATTATCATCTGACTCCAGCAGTATATGCAGTATGTATATTATTATATATATACACACACACACACACAGTTATGTACTGAACTAACATCGCACTTTATATTATGAATATTGTTGTCTCCTTCACAAACTGCTTTTGTTGCTTTGGATATATGAATGTATTCATTTCTAATTTAATGAAGACTGGTTTATTTAATTAACTAATTAATTTAATTTGCCATAATCAATAAAAATACTTCATATCATATACTTAAAATACCTCAAATTTAGATTTAAAATCTAGATTTTGTTGTTGAATTTGGAGACTGATGAACTCTCACTCATTTTGATCAGGTTATTATGGGATGTGGAGTTGCTAGGCAACAGCTGTACTCACAGGCCTCTGAGGATGAGGGGAACCTGGAAGGACAGAACGGCCTGTTTCTGCCGGACCACGAACAGAACCGGACTCTGAGCGCTCTCCGACATCAGCTCCACGGACACACGCACACCCTCCGTCTGAGAGACACACACACACAGACACAGACACAGACACACACACACACACTCACACTCACACTCACACACACACACACACACACACA